TGTACACAATCTCTTCCTGTGTGCTTTTCCAGTTCCGCTTGCACAATCATTGACTTACGTGTAGCACCTTTTGAAGCGCTCTTTTGTCCTCCTTAATGTCTTCTAATCTCCTACTTTGGTGGGATGTTACAAGTCTGAGCAAGTTTGGCAGTGTAGGCAATTTGGGGAGCAAAAATACATCAGTTTAATGCTTAAATGTCTTAAACTTGTGATTCATAGGAAAATAAGAATTACTATATTCTGGATCACTTCTGTATATGTTTAGGGATTCATGCTGTCAAGAACTAGAATGTTAATCTAACGTTGAACATAATTTAGCAGATGACGTGCAAGGTGCTGTAGAGGAAATAAACACCAACTTTTTCAGATAACTTTGTTTTTATTGTTTCCTTCCTTAGAAGAAAGTAGCCAATTAATCCTTTGCTCTCTTTCTAATAGATTAACAAAATAGTCATAGCTTTACTTGACAGGGTAGTATGGAGAGAATTTGCCTATAAAGTTGCTAAGAGTCGGACATGACTGAACTGTTAAAACTAACTATTGGAAAAGTACTCTGATCAAAATTGTATCAGATCCATTATTTTTTTTCCTTTTCTTGTTCTTTCCTTGCCATTTTTGGAAGTGAAAATAGAACAGATAATACTACAGTGAAGTGGGTTCCATTTCCTTTCTTTGCTAAAAGTATATGACAGTAATTATTCCAAAGTGTAAACCATATTTGTTGATATAGAGCAGTTAAAATGTTAACTTTCTCTAGTCCTGCAGATTTAAATAGTTCAGTGAACATTTCATCTGCATCTACAGCTAATCCTCAATTTATAAGCATTTTTTCAGCAACCATTTGAAGTTACAACACCACTGAAAAAGGAACTTACAACTGGTCCTCACACGTATCCCTGTTGCAGCATCCCCACGGTCACATAATCAAAATATAGGTGCTTGGCAACCATAATGTATTTACAGTGGTTGCTGTGTCCCAGGGTCATGTGATTGCTATTTGTTCCTTTCCCAGCCATTTTCCCATAAGCAGAGTCAACGGAGGAAGCCAGATTTGCTTCCATTAATTTGCAACCCATTAATTTACCACTGATAAATTTGGAAGGAATACCATTAGAAAAAGTTGAAAGGATCATGTACCTCGGTTTTAATTCACATGAATCCTGGGACATGATCAGTGAAGTAAAGACAAGGATGGAGAAAGCTCAAACAGCATTCTTCAAAATGAAAAAGGTCTTCTGCAGTCATGACATAAGCCTAAGACTGAAAATCGGGCTTGTCAGATGTTACATCTTTTCTGTCCTGCTCTATGGAATAGAGAGTTGGTCTCTGACAGAAAACCACTTGAAGAAACTAGAAGCATTTGAAATGTGGATTTACAGATGGCTGTTACGTATAAGCTGGGTTAACAAAATCACAAATGAGGAGGTGATAAGCTGCCTGGGAAAGCAAAGTGAAATAATCAAAGCCATTAAAAAGCGAAAGTTAGAGAATTTTGGACATGTAATGCGACACCCAGAAAAATACAGCATCCTTCACTTAATTCTCCAGGGAAAGATTGAAGGCAAATGAAGCCCAGGCAGAAGAAGAACATCATGGCTTCAAAACCTAAGGGACTGGTTTGGACAAAACACAGCAGCACTTTTTCATACGGCTGTTGACAAAAATAGAATTGTCAGCATGATCGCCAATGTCCGATGACAGACATGGCACAAGAAGAAGAAGAAGAAGATTTGCTTAGTGATCATGTGATTCACTTAACTGCAATGATTTGTTTAACAACCATGGCAAAAAAAAAAGTTGTAAAATTGAGCATGACTCATTGAACAACCGCCTTGATTAGTAATGGAAATTCTTATTCCAATTGCAGTCGTTAAATTGAGGATTACTTTTACTCTTTTTTTGATAACTTTCTAGGAATCTCTCTACAAATATTCCTGTCATTCTGCAAAATTTTTCAATAGTTTCAATATTGAAACTATTCAATAGTTTCCTTTAATTTCATTTGCCTATTAAATATTATCTATGATAAGAGTAATTTTCATCTTAGCTATACATTTTTCAGTGAATGCTCTGACTTTAAAAAGATCTTGTATTTTTGTTTGTTTTATTTCTTTGTTACCATTTTCAATTGAAATAGTGAAAAGACAACACTTAATCTTTTCCCATAGTTCCTTAATTGTATTTTTCCTCACATTCTAAGCATTTTCAATTGATTCTTTATTTTGATCTTAAATCCACCGGAACATATTTTGCTGGCACATGTTTGTCCCTTTAGTTTTCTAAGTCTACCTTGTATATTTGCTACCAATAATTCAGTCTTTTCTATCATTTATATCTAAAAATGTTTGAGACTGAATTGGACTTATCCATTTACTGTTTTCTATTATGGAGTCAATTTGTTTATGTCCTCCAGAGATGTCATTTGTAGAGTGTATGTTGCTTGAGGCAAATATTAGTAATAAACTAAGAATTTTTTTCACAAAACCTGATTACCTTCACCATATCAAATTCTTGCTTTAATTGCTGTCTTTCATTTTGTCACTTTTGTATTCCAGTCACTCGTTATAATAATGTTACTGATGTTGCATCTAATACCTCTTGCAATTCATTGTAAAATCCTTGAATGTCTTCCTCCATTTCAACCGTAGTAGGAGGCATATACTACTTAATTGGTTAGTTGAACAAATATTTAACAGCCTACATCTTTTTTGAGTATGACTGGCATTTCATTCCTTTATGTGATCTCATTTTTCAGAGTAGTATAATATTTTGAGTTAAAGAATCAGAGTTTAAGAAACATTACAAATCATGTAGTTCAACCCCTGTTCAGTGTGGAAGCCTATGCTTGAAAACCTCTAGTTTTCTAGCTTATGAGGAAACTTCTCTACACTGGCAACTTATATAATCAAGACGTTTTTCCTGATGCCTAGCCTGAACCTGATTCATTTTCATTTTAACCCATTTAATTGGTTCTGCTCCTGCCCTCTAGAGCAATAAACAATAAGCGCTTTTCCTCACTGTATATATTTGACCATCAAATTTATTACAGGCTAAATATATCTGGATATTGGTTCCCAGACCTTGGTAGTCCTCCTATGAACTTAATCCAATTCGCCACTGTCCTTCTTGAGTGGTGATGTCCAGAAATTGACATGGTATTCTAAATGGCTTTGATAGGGCAAGTAAAGTACTGTGTGTATTTTGGACTGTAAGCTGCTATAGATGTACCCCAAAATAGCATTGTTTTTTTAGCAGCTGCATCAAACTGCTGATTCATGTTTAAGTTATGGTTGACAAGGCCATCCAGTTCTGTTTTATGTGTATTACTTACAAGCCAGGATTTTTCATCTTATTTTCGGTCTTAACAACTGCCCAGAACAGAGTATTCTTGCAATGAATAGGAACCAATTGCTATGGAGAAATATTCCTCATTTTAAATATTTTTCAAAAGTCTAATGAATACCAAATGGTTGATATATTGGATATAGTAGTTTGATCAAAATTATAAAACAGGTATGGTTTTTGAATAGCAAAAACAAATTTCATGTAGGGCAGACCTGGGAGACTAAAAATTAGCCATGTTCTTAAAATCATGAAGATATAACAACTAGAGTCCTCCCTTGGCCAGTCATTCTGTCCATGCTTCATGCTCCCATGCACACTCTACAGCTTGCTCCATTCTCCTACTGAATAATTTCATAGGGCTTCCTAGCAGATATTGCTTCCTTCTTGCTTCCACCTTCCTTGTATTGCTTCAATCTCCAGATTTTACCAAACAAATCCATGCACCTTCAGTTGTCTCTTTGGGTCATTGGTGTTGCCCTCTAATGGCACTCTTGGATCACTAATCATCCCAAGTTTTTTCTCATTTCTCCATTACCGTACCTAAATCTCTCTTTCTAAAAGTCAGCAGAAGTTAGGATTATCTGTTCCATCTCTTGTTTGCTGGGTGACCAGTTTTGCTTCATGATCTGCCACCCTTGATCCCTAAGAATGTGCTTGGGTTCTGATGAGTCTTTTTTTTTTCTTTTTTCTTTTTTCTTTTTTTTATTATAAACAAACATACATATACAGACGTAGACATTTAAACAAACTATACATAAACTAACTATACAGTAAAATCAACTCATAGAGCTTGAACTTTGAAAATAGAGCTACTTCGATAATTATATATCTATATATCTGTAGATATTTATCCTTCATCATGTATCAATGTTTATACAACGATATTTCATTTTATTTCCTTATTTTTGTATCATTGGGTGGTATTCCCTTATTTCGTGTTCTTTTTATCTAACCATTTTTGCCAAATTAAGTAATAATCTGAATCTTCTTTTCCCTGTAATTCTTTGGTAAGTTTGTCCATTTCCGCACATTCCATTCCAGACTCTGATGAGTCTTTTTTTTTTCAATCCAGTGTCTGTGGAATAAATTAATAGGACATTGGATGCCTGCCCTTAGGTCTGTTGTTGTCACCTGTTGTTTGTTTTAACCAAGAATATGAAATCATAGATCACTTCACAGATGCAAGAGAAGAAGTTTGCAGGTAGAATAGTATTGTCTAGCTCTATTACAAATCTTTCTTGGTATTGAATGCTGATTCTGACTAAACAAATTGTAAACTCATATCTACAAACAAATGTCTTTTGCATAGACAAAGCCAAGGAGGGGGGGGGGAAATGACATCTATAAGTCTAGGATAACAATCCATTTGCCTGATAGTGTGATAAGTGGCATATTAAACAAACAAACAAAAATAGTTTCTGTACTATTTGATACTTCTGGCCATATTGATAATATTTTCTTTCTTGAGCATTGGCAATACAATGAATTAAGCTGCGCTATCATAAAGAACAAGTTTTTATTTTAATTTGTAATTGCTACTGCATAAGCACTAATATTGGTACTAGGAATGTTTAATCCTCACAAGAGGTAATATAGTACTTTTCAAAAAAACTGCCTCCGGGAACTTTTTCCATGTTCCTGCACAACCAGTTAAATTCATTTTTTTTGTACCAATTTATTCAACATGCTGAAGAACCAGTTAAACTACATTTTTCAGGACAGTGTTACCGCTGTTATTTTTTTTTTTTTTCCAAAAATGTAGAAGAGAATACCAAACTATTAGTTCTGCTGTGTGGCTTTCCCATGAAGAGTAATCTGCGTGGGTGGATTTTTCTTTTTTTCTTTATGCATTTCTTTAATTGTAGTGTTAATGGGTAATTTCAGGTGACTAAAAAAAGTTGATTTTTTTCCCATTTCTTTTTTGGCTGGATATCTTTTCTTTTTCTATTTTGTGGTATACTGCATGTTTTTCCTAGTGCAAAAGATAAGAGTTTTTAAGATAATTTATAATACTATAATTACCATTCTGTTCTCATCCAGAGCAGCAATCAATAGCAAACAAGGAAATTTACTCTGTCCATTCCTTTTCCTTCAGTTATTGTTGAATTTGCTGTTGGTGAAAAAGATTGGGAGAGACCAGTTAGAGGTTTTGGAGTCAATATAAGGAGGTTTATTAAATTCACAATTATGTATTGTTTGGACTAATCCGTTTTAATGTCCTGTATTGATAATTTTTAATGGATTGTTAAATGAAAATAAAATATATTTATAAAAAATAAATAAATATAAAACATATTTTAAATATAAGACTATATTTTTTAAAAAATAAAATATAAAAATATATTTTATTTATATAAAATAAAATTTATTAAATCAAATGAATACAGTGGCACACAAGGAAAAATCCTATTTTATTTTTTGCATTTGTTATTAAACATGGAGATTTTGGGCTTCAAATCAAATTTAAAATTTCAGGATGATGCAAGTGAAAGTGGCCAGCACTAGACCACTCTTTTGGGACTTGTGGGAGGAGAAGTAAAGTAAACTTAGTTCGAGAAAGCAAATAGGCCAGTGATGTGCTAGGGCCTACTATTCAAGTGCAGACCTTGGGCAATGCACAAGAAAGATCCCTGGAGGGACAGCCCAGTGAAGAATTCAGCATCTTCTTTTCCAAATGGCAGAGCATAGCCAGAAGTGCATCCTTTTTCCTGCCAGCTGGGTAGGGATGATCTTCCACCCTCCTTCCCATTAGAAGATAGACTCCCCACTCAGTCAGGTTAACCTAGATTGCTGAGGAATGCTGCCTTTGCTACTTCCTGCTTCTGCCCAAAGTTGTCATTCACTTATACCTGACTAATGGGCATGGAACCCAAAGAGGCCTTGAAGGACACCGGCTGCAGTTGGCAGAGGGAAGATTTAGAAAGCTGTGGCAGGAAGGCAAGTGGGGATGCCTGTTTCCACTGCAACTGGCACTGTCACAGTTCCTTGCTTCCAGTGGCAAGCCAATAGGCACCAACATGAGCTGTGACATCTGGTTATTGAACTAGGAGGGTAGCAGCCCCTCAGTTTATCTGCATAAGTACAGAACTGTGTATCTTCATAGATAGATAGATAGATAGATAGATAGATAGATAGACAGACAGACAGACAGACAGACAGACAGACAGACAGACAGACAGACAGACAGACAGACAGACATAAACAGATATAGATATATATATATATTGTATTTCCTATTTCTTAACTGCCTGTCTTCCTTAGAGAGGGGCTCTGGGCAGTGTATAATATCTTCAATAAAATTAAACATTAAAATCAGAATAATTTGAGATTAAAAGTTTTAAAATAATAAAAACAACATTATTATACATCACTTCTGAGGGCAAGATGTTCTACAGTGCCGTGGCAGTGGCACAGAAGGCCCTTTTCCTAGATTCAGCCAGTTGAAATTCTTTGATTGACAGGGTCTGTAGCATACCTTCCCTGCCTGAACAAGTGGGACAGTCTGATGTGGTATGTTCTGTACAAAGCATATATAGTACCTGAATGAAATCCACAAGTTGTCACCTTGTTTCAGACTGTTGCTCACATGCTGTGTGTGTTTGTATGGTAGTAAGCCATACAGAATAACCTGGCGGGCAGTGAATGGAGGATTGTAAGTTTGACACCCTTCTGTTTACCATAGTACAATTAAATCCTTGTGGCCTTAAAAAAAGGGTAATGCAACAATAAAAATGCTTGGCATCTATTTGATCCTTCAGAGAATGTTCAGTAGAAATTGATTAGAACAGTCCTGCTGTTGGACAGTTAAAAACACTGGAAGGAGAGATCTACACTTGATTGGCAGCAAGAGGTTGCTAATAAGTGCTGTTTGACAACTTTCTGTTTTAGAGAAATAGGCAAAGAAGAATACTTCAAACAATGTTTTTGGTATTGATGGTGTTATTTTGTTTATAACATGTTTTAAAGGCTTGTTTTTTTTAAAAAAAAGTTTATTGATGTTGAGGTTCTGAGAGTTGCAATTCTTATTTTTGTATTTTTTAATTTAGCATAATACTCTAAAATATTTTTTTCCTATTTGTATTTAGGCATATTGTAATATTTCAGCATTTAAAATAGGTTTATTAGTATTATAGGCTATGCTTTCACACCAGTTAAGAAATAGACGTTTCTTATTTCAGATTTGAAAGTTGTTGCATATTACAAGATATTCTAAACAGTGCTACAGATATAATAGGGAAACCACAAGAAAGCTAGGGCTTGATAAGATACAACTATCAAAGCAGAAAGATTAATACTAGTAATAATTCATAAAATTCTCCAACAAGGTGGAAAAACGTCAGTCAGTCTGGGTATACGTCCTGTCTAGCCAATGACCGAGCACTTTCCAAAGGCAAAACTCCGCCCCTTTAAGGCTGCCCCAGTTCTTCGTCTCGGTCTTCGCCTGACAGGAACGTGTCCTCCTCTGACTGACCCTTTTTCCTCGGTTATATTTGCTGGCAATTGTTGAACTGATTTCAGGTTCCTTCGTTTCAGCCCCTGCTGAATTTGTGCCTGGCTAAAGGTAATTTCTTGCCTCCCTTAGCACTAGCTGCGTTTAAACGGCTGTTGCCTAGCAGCTTTACCGGCCTCAGCGATCTCAGCGATCTCACACAGCCCCCAGAGTCGCGTGTAGTGCCGAAAAGGCTAGCGACTGAAGAGCGCTCCCTTCCTCACAGCTGTTGAGCGCAAGGGCTGTCACGCCGATTCATCTACGGCGTTTTTTCTCCCGCCTTGCTTGGCTTCGGAATCCTCCCGCTTCAATCTCGCGCCAGAGGCGATCGGGGAGATAACGCTCCGGCGCATGCTCGCCTAGCAGGGACAGTGATTCTGACGGCTTCCCGGTGCGGCGGTTTTAACTGAGGGGGCGATCGGACAATTATCAGCTTGAAAGCGCCCCTTTTTTTCTAACTGGAGCCCTAGCAACATTGGGAAGGATCGCCTTGTTGGTCCCTCGCTCCTTTTTTTCGCCGCCATTTCAGGCCGCCTTTTCAGGCCTATAATTAATTCAAAATGGCGTCGGCCAGAAGCAACTCCGAGAAACCTACGGCCTCCTCCTCCCGCAGGCGCCATCCTAGCGATCCTCTGGAGGGCCCTTCATCCTCCCTGCCACCTCCAGCCAAGAAAGCCCGGGCTAAGCGCAATAATACACAATCCTCATCATCTGGGCTTTCCCGGGAGGAACAACGTCGTCATAAGGCCATGGAAAAGGCCTTTCTGCGGGCGCAATCACATTCTGGCCGGTCCGCTCCTCTGCCTACACCTGGGTCTCGTTCTCCCCACTCGGTGAGAGACCTTTCCCCAGATGTTTTGGGAGACTCTCAGGATACTGCTTCAGACCCTCAAAGGTTATTCCAAACGCTACCTGATTCAGACCAGCGTCCTGTATTACCATCGGCACCTCCTCCAGTTCTGCCAGCTTTATCTACTCCAATGGCTGACTCCTTGGAGGCCTTCATTTCTCGGGCTATCCGCCAATCTATCGCAGATTGTCTTACCCAAGCACCAGCTGCGGTCCCATCAAGGGATTCTATTCATCCCCTCCCTGACGCCCAGGAGGGTTCCTTACTAGATCAGGATCATTCTGCTTCCCATGTTGCTCCTGACCAAGTTTCATTGTCGGAAGGAGATGATTATCAAGATCTAGCTTGGTCTGATGATGAAGGCTTGGGGCCCGACCAGCCGGCTTTTGTTGGCCTATTTAAGCCGCACCTCTTCCGCTCCTTGCTTTTTAAAGCTATTGCCGTCACCCGTTTGGGTTCTCCTTCTGCGGCTACACCATCTTCTTCGGCTTCGGATCCGGCGGCTGCCATGTTCGCGGAACATACCAGCGAACCTGAGACCATTCCGGCTCCTAAGCTATTCACTGATGTCCTTCAGCGACAATGGACATTACCTGGAGCAGGCCCTAGCCCTAACGGCTTGGACAAGCGTCTCTACAATTCTGCATCCCCTTTGGCAGATATCTTACAGATTCCGAAGGTTGACTCTCCTATTGTGGCCCTAACCGATACTACCCACCCAGCAGGGCCTCCTGAGGATTCTCTCAGACCTGAGGATAAGCGAGCTGAAAAGACCCTCCTCAAGGGGCACCAAGCGACCGCCTGGTCCATACGGGCGTCAACGTCTGCTTCTTTCTTTAACCGTGCGGCCTTGCTCTGGCTTAAGCAGCTGCAAGCCAGGCTGCCTCTCTCAGACTCAAGGTCCCACCAGGACCTAAATAAGATCGCTGCCGCATTGGAATATTCGGCAGATGCCACTTTGAATTCCACCCGATTTTCCGCTAGAGCCTTAGGTTCTAATGTTACGTCTCGACGGCTCTTGTGGCTTAGAAATTGGCAAGCCGACGTTCGCAGCAAATGGCAGCTCGCTTCGGCCCCTTATGCTACGGGTTCCCTCTTTGGCTCGGCCTTGGACCCCTTGCTTGTTGAAACCAGGGATCGCCGGAAAATTCTCCCACCGGCTTCTCGTCGTTCTGATCACCGTTTTCCATCTCCACGGTTTCAGTCCTTTCGGACTTCGGCTTCCTCTTCCTTTCAGTCGCGAGGGCAACGATCCCTTCCCTCTAGGCCACAACAGGATCCCCAGGTCAGACAAGGATCCAGATTTTCCTATCGGAAGTCCTTCCGGGGTAATAGGGGGGGTCGTTGGCCTCGACGGTCTAGATGAGGTGTGTTTCCTTTCTCCTATTGGAGGACGCCTGTCCTTATTCCGGGATCGGTGGGCTTCCTCCATTACTGACTCCTGGGTGCTTGACACTATTTCCTTTGGTCTGGCTTTAGAATTTTCTTCTCCTCCTCCCGCCCGTTTTCTTCCTTGCCCTGTTTCTCGAGATCCAGCCAAGGTAGGGATTGTTTCTGAGGCCATCAACCATCTCTTAGAGATTTCTGCTATTGAAACAGTTCCCTCTTCAGAACAGGGTCATGGTTTTTATTCCCGTCTTTTTGTTGTCCAAAAGGCTTCAGGGGGTTGGCGTCCCATTTTAGACTTGAAGGCATTGAACCGGCACATTAAATATCGCCGGTTCAAAATGCATTCCCTTACTTCCATTCTGGAGTTAATTCGTCCTTCCGATTTTCTTTCGTCAATCGACCTAACAGATGCCTATCTCCATGTCCCTATCTTACCTTCTCATCGACCTTTCCTTCGTTTTGCCTTCAGAGGTTCCCATTATCAGTATAAGGCTCTACCCTTCGGGCTGTCTTCGGCTCCTAGGGTATTCACAAAAATTATGGCCTCCTTAATTGGTTTCATTAGATCTCACCCTGTTCGCCTTCAATTTTATTTGGATGACATATTAGTTATGTCTCCTTCTCTACCCAAAGCTCAGGAGGATCTAGTTTTCGTTCTCTCTTCCCTTCAATCTCATGGATTTTCTATAAACTGGTCAAAGAGCCATCTGTTCCCCTCTAATAGTATCCTTCACTTAGGTGCTTCCATTGATACCATCTCCTCCATAGTTTGTCTTTCACCAGAGCACCAGGCCAATCTACGTTCCTTGGCACGGCAATGTCTTGCAGATGGCTCAGCAACCCTTTTCGTGCTTTCCCGCCTCTTGGGGATGATGGTTTCCACCTTCGGTATTACCCCGTGGTCCCGTTTACATAGTCGGGAGTTGCAATGGCTGCTGCTTCCCTTCCAACGTTCGAACCAAGAGGTTTCTTCCCGTCGTATCCAACTTCCCCAGCCTGTCCTCCAATCTCTTCGCTGGTGGGTTTCTCCAGCATTGGCTCAGGGTTCTTGCTTTCGGGAACCTCAAAGACTCCAGCTTACTACTGATGCGAGCCTCTCTGGCTGGGGGGCCCATCTACTCCATCACATGACTCAGGGCCGGTGGACCACTCAGGAATCCCGTCTTAGTATTAATTTGTTGGAATTGCGAGCCATTAGGCTCGCGTTGTTAAGGTTTTGTGACTTGGTAAACGGTAGACATGTCTTAGTCCTTACCGATAACACTACAGCTAAGGCCCATGTAAATAGGTTGGGTGGTACTAGATCTCGCTCTTTGATGAACGAAGCTCGTTTGTTGGGGTTATGGGCCGAGGACCATCTGGCTTCCATCAGGGCTGATTACATCTCAGGATCCGACAACGTCCAGGCTGATTCTCTCAGCCGTTCACAGGTGAACCAGGGCGAGTGGTCTATCTCTCAGGACCTTTTCCGGGATATCGCATCTAGATTTGGCTGTCCAGTAGTAGATTTATTCGCCTCCCGTACGAATCATCATCTCCCGCGTTATTTTTCCAGGTTTCTGGATCTTCAGGCGGAAGCCACGGACGCCCTTCGCAGCCCTTGGCCCCCCGGTCTTTTATATGCCTTCCCTCCTCTCCCGTTGATCCCCAGGGTTCTGCGGAGACTGCTCGAGGAACAGGCGCAGCTCCTCCTGGTGGCCCCGTTCTGGCACAGGCGCCCCTGGTTTGCGGACCTTATGGATCTCTCCGTGGCCCCTCCTTGGCGGATCCCTGCCTCCAAGGTCGTCTTATCTCAGGGATCGCTCATTCATCCGAACCCGGGGTGGCTGCGCTTAACCGTCTGGCGGTTGAGCGGATCCTCTTGACGGAGGCCAGAATTCCATCAGACGTTGTTTCTATAATCCAGGCTGCTCGCAAACCTTCTACCATCCGAATTTATGAGGCCACCTGGCGTTCATTTGTTTTATGGTGTTCATCAGTTCCAGTTTTGCCTACTTCGGCTTCCATTATTCATGTGTTGATGTTTCTTCAATCGGGCCTTCGCAAGGGACTTCGACCCAACACTCTACGTCGGCAGGTGGCAGCCATTGCTTCCGTCTTGTCTTGCGGTTCGAAGGATTCCATCTCTCGTCATCCTATCATCGCTACCTTCTTGCGAGGAGCTACGAACTTGCGTCCTCCTACCGTGCATAGGTTTCCAACGTGGAACTTGAATAAGGTCTTGAAAGCTCTCATGTCACCTCCCTTCGAACCTCTTCGATCCGTCTCACTGCGCTTCCTTTCATTGAAAGTAGCGTTCTTGGTAGCGGTTACCTCTTCCCGAAGAATTTCAGAACTGGCAGCTTTATCTGTCCGAGCGGATCTTTGTACCTTCCATACCAATAGAGTGGTTCTACGGCTGGATCCATCTTTCGTGCCTAAAGTAAATTCGACCTTCCACAGAGCGCAGGAACTCGTTCTCCCAGATTTTTGCCCCCATCCTTCCCATCGACTGGAAAGGGCTTGGCACACGTTGGACGTCCGCCGGGCTTTGAAGATCTATATAGCCCGGACGGCACCGCACAGGAAGACGGAGGCTCTTTTTGTTGCCTTTCATCCCGCTTCTCTGGGAGGTCGGGTATCGAGTGTGACATTGGGTCGGTGGATTAGGGCTGCTATTACTCTGGCTTATCGCCAGTCTGACTCTCCTCTTCCTCATTCCATCACGGCTCATTCGACGAGGAGCGCTGCAACATCCGCTGCCTGGGCTACTCAGGCTTCCATTGAAGAAGTTTGCCGGGCTGCCACATGGACTTCCATCAGTCCCTTCATCAGACATTATAAGGTGGATTCGTTTGCTTCTTCGGATGCTGCATTCGGCAGGAGAGTTCTGCAGTCGGTCCATATCGCTTGAGTTCTGCGGGACCTGTTCCTTCCCTCCCTGGTGACATCTGGCTTTGGTATGTCCCCAGACTGACTGACGTTTTTCCACCTTGTTGGAGAATAGACGTTGGTCTTACCTGATACGTCTCTTCTCGACATGGGGAAAAACGTCAGTCAGCCCCACCCTTGGTTTCTTTCCGGTGGTGGTTGGGGGGGGTGATATTAATTCTCTATCGTTTCAGGAGGACACGGAGCACGATTCCGTCGCTTCGCCTCAACGAAGAACTGGGGCAGCCTTAAAGGGGCGGAGTTTTGCCTTTGGAAAGTGCTCGGTCATTGGCTAGACAGGACGTATACCCAGACTGACTGACGTTTTTCCCCATGTCGAGAAGAGACGTATCAGGTAAGACCAACGTCTATTCTCTTAGCTGTTAAGGTGCTTTGCATGTATTATGTTTTAAATTATCTTCCTTGTTTCAAGTATTGAAACTGAAAGAATACACGTCTTCAGTCTTTTAATTGTTAAACCACAGAATGAAAACAGGGAGTGGAACTCTTTTCGGGCTGTATTTATTACTAAACATGTGCTGTGTGAAATGCATAAATCTCTACCTTTCCCAACTTTAGTATTTACTCATCCAGTGAGAATTGGATGGCAAATTATGGCCAAGTGAGGAATATGCAAAAATTAAGGTTCTCTTTCCCCTTCAGATTGTTGTTTCTGTTGGCTACAGCAGTTGTTTAAATTACAGTTCAATAAGCATAGTGTTTAAACTGTATGACCCCACTGGTAGATGCCAAGAGGAAGCCTTTTAGAGAAACCTGTACATTTGTAGACTTTGGCAGCATACCATTAGAACTGTGTGAAAGATTTAATTCACAAATGTCTTCAGCTGACATTTGTCAGGAAGCTGCAGGATGGCTAATGAATTGCTAAAACTTTTTTTCCTAGTATAATGGAAAAGGTTTTTAATTTTGGAGAATGTATCTATCTGTTGCTCATTATATATTTTGGAACTAAAATATGCTCCCCCTTTATTTTCAATTGTTATGGTAAAAAATCATTTGACTCATCAAATGAGCAACTACTTTTATCTGTGGGTCCCCATTTTCTTGGACTACCATTTGAAATATTGATTGTGATTATGCAAAAGGTTAACAGAGTTCAAAAGAGCAGGCCCTAGTTAAGAAGGATGCTCATGAAACAAATAAAATTTGTCTTCTGAGCTTGGAGTACAACATTTCTACTCTTAACTGTTCTGTGGAATCCTCTTTAAGCTTTTTGTGTTCCAGGAGAATAAAATTCAAAATATTTTCATTGTTCTGCCATAGGAATTAAGTTCATATTAAGTTCCTTATTTCCTCATTTTTCATCTTAGGGCAACCAAAATAGGTGAAATGGAAGTCTCTGCTTGATGTTTCATACCATGTCGCCTGCTGAAAGATTATTTGGTTATTTAGTCAGAAATTGAGCTTTAAAAAGAAATGATTTTATATAATATTTATAATCAAAATTTGTAGAAACAGTAATTCAACACATTTTTATAGCTTGCCTCTAGTCACAAAAATGAGTACAACAAGGAAACAAGAATAGATCCAGTACAATGCATCTCATAAACAACATGGTAACAGCAAACATAGTATCTCTGACTGACAGCTAGAGGCTTCTTCCTAATTCACTTGCACTATATACAGTTTTTCACATTTATAAGCCTATAAAAAAACAATAATAACAAAAACAACATTTTTTTTTCCATTTATCTTCCTGAAAGCTGAATAGCATAGCAGCATTATCTAAAGCATTTAGCTGCAATACTAACTTTTATAGTTGGCAGCTTCCCTGAAAAATAAAGAACCAAATATATGGAACATATAGAAAATACCAATTTTAGATTATTACCCATATCTTCTGACTTGCTTGCTGTGCAAGCTATAAAATAGCTTAAATTCCCCAATAGGTAGGCAGCAATATGTGCTTAAATGACTCTGTCATCCATACACTTTCTTGCACCTACTGACACCAGTGGTTCTATCAATGGAACTTGTGTTTGTGATGAGCTGTGATGGCACAGGGGTTAGAATGAAGTATTGCAGGCTAACTGCTTGCAGCCAGCAGTTCAACTCTCACCAGGCTAAGGGTTGACTCGGCCTTCCATCCTTCCAAGGTGGGTAAAATGCGGACCCAGATTGTTAGAGACAATATGCTGACTCTGTAAGCCGCTTAGAGAAGACTGTAAAGCACTATGAAGCAGTATATAAGTCTAAGTGATATTGATATTGCGATGTACTAATTAACGTATTCTTCAAATCTCATGGATTGAAGAGGCAAAACAATTTAACAATATAGGATAAGCAATCAGAATTTCCATTTTTTTTTTCCAGTGATAGCCTTTGGAAGTTGTGTTTTCTTCTGAGTCATGACATAATAGACACTGATACCTGTAAATAGAAAGGCTCGCAGTGCAAAGGAATTGCTCTGTTGAAGTCACCTTTGGATCTTTAAAACGTAAAATCTTTATTTATATCCAAAATTGTATAGTTGGTAAAAAGAGTTCAATACACACTGAATTTTCACAAAGTCAGGTTTTGTGACTGTGTCTTCATATTTCTCCTTTTAAAACTTCCAGTTGTTCCTGTGATTTTGAAAGGACTAACTTACGATGAAAAACGGGGAGCTTGCAGTGTTGGCTCCAATGTACGGGATTCTGCTTGCTATGTATGTTGGGCTTTTGCTCGCGCCTATGATCCTTTAGAACTGAGGCCTTTTGTTAACCAGATTGCAAGGTAAGTTTTTAAAACGAAATACCAATACCAATTTCTTTAAATAAAATATTTTTCAAGAAATGAAATAACATCATATTATTACTACTTAAAAGGCTAAATGTAGAGCTATTATTCTAAGATCTTATTTAAAATATCTAAAATATTTGCATTCAGGTTATATAAGAGAACATATCCAGTATAGATCTGTCCAACGTTTGGAGAACCTCTTGATTGTGCCACATTCAATGCATTCTTATTGGAAAACATTCTCTGGAGATAAAACAAATGGCATCATAGTTACAGTTCAAGCGCTTGCTTTAACTCTAGATTCTTGTTGGCATGGAGTAGTTCATGATACTATTTTCATTACATTTGGGCATCAAATATATATACTGTATATATGATAGTATATGTATACATTGTAAATATGTATACATACAAACTATGTATCTCTATAAGTTGTACACAAAACATATCTTTATATACATATTGTATAGTTATAGCTAACCAGTTTCATTATGTGTTTATGAAACTGAATGGAACTGTGCCTGTTGATTCTGTTACCTACAATAAAAGTTCTTTTACTAAAGTGGCTATAGATGAGAAAAGTTTGGGGTGCTTTTTGTTTGTTTGTTTGTTTGCTTGCTTGTTTGCTTTCTAGTTGTAACAGTTTAATGTGGTAGCTCAGCAATAAACTGTATGTTGAGAATCAGGAACTTTTGGGAGCATGACGCATAGTTTCACCTGTATTAGTATACTTTGGTTTACAGCCAATAACAGTAATCATCTATCTTTTTTTTTTCCTTGTCTCTTAGTTCTAGCCTTAGGTGTGTCACTCTTTCTGTCTGAGAAGAGCCATCTATTTAGCCACAACAAAATTGTTGCTATCTTTTTACAGAATACCAGTTCACTCTTTGAACAAATCTTTGCAAGCAAAGTTGAATTGATTTTGTGTTCAGGTTTAGCCAAGTATTCTCAGATCTCACAATGTATCTCCCTTAGTTTGGCCTAAAGTAATATCTTCTAATAGGGACGCAGTGGCTCAGTGGCTAAAACCCTGAGCTTGTTGATCAAAAGGTTGGCAGTTCAGCGGTTTGAAGCCCTAGTGCCGTGTAACGGGATGAACTCCCGTTACTTGTCCCAGCTTCTGCCAACCTAGCAGTTTGAAAGCACATAAAAAATGCAAGTAGAAAAATAGGGACCACCTTTGGTGGGAAGGTAACAGCATTCTGTGCGCCTTTGGTGTTTAGTCATGCCGGCAACATGACCACGGAGATGTTTTCAGATAGCGCTGGTGTCTTTGAAACGGAGATGAGCACCGCCTCCTAGAGTTGGGAACGACTAGCACATATGTGCAAGGGGAACTTTTACCCTTTTAATATCTTCTAATGCCTATAACCTATGCATACACTGATTGGCTTTAACTGTTTGCATGGCGTGATGAACGGTCCTTTTGACCTAGTTAAACACATTCTATGGACATATTCAATATAACAGAAAAAAAGTAGTACAAAAAATTGAATAATATTTTCAAGTAAATTTCAGTGCATAATATTGCCTAATTGTGATATGGAAAGCCATGAAAGCAGAATTGAATGTGTTGTTATTAGTGAGCATGGATAAAAAGGCTATCAGAAAAATCATGAGAGAGTGTAGATCAGGTGATTGTTGCAACTACTTTGGAATGTAGTAACATATATAAATATATATATATATATATATATATATACCTACCATACTTTTCGGAGTATAAGACACACTCCGCCCCTAGAAGTGGGTGAAAATTGTGGTGCATCTTACACACTGAATATTGACAAAGGCCTGCTCCCCTTCGGCCATTTTTGGCCTCCGCGTGTCCCATTTTTGGCCTCTGCACGTCCCATTTTTGGCCTCTGCACATCACATTTTTGGCCAGTTCCAGGCAGCGGGGATCAGTGGCGGCGGTACCCACTGCCTGAAACCGGGTGAAAATGTGATGTGCGGGTGCCAAAAACGGGGCAAGCGGAGACCAAAAACGTGACACGCAAAAGCCGAAAATGCAAAGTGGCAATATGCTCTGGTGATCCCTGCAGCCTGGAATGGGTCTAAAATGGAGCATGGCAATGTGATCTGGTGATCCTTGCAGCCTGGAATGGGTCTAAAATGCAGCATGTGGATGCCAAAAACACAACACATGGCGGCCAAAAACGCAACGCACGGAGGCCAAAAATGCAACGCACGGAGGCCAAAAATGCAACGTGCGGAGGCGGCGATAGGCTCTGGTGATCCCCACAGCCTGGAACAGCTGATTGTTGGTATTCCGGGTGGCCGATCCAACCACCAATCAGCTATTCATGCTAAATCAGGCTGCGATAACGTGCTGAAGCTGACCAGGTTGTTTGCTGTTTGCTGCAAGGACACTAGCCAGATGAATACCGATGGGTGCTGGTAAGAACATTTTTTGTTCTTGTTTTCCTCCCCAAAAAGGTAGGTGCGTCTTATAGTCCAGAGTGTCTTATACTCCGAAAAATACGGTATATAGATAAATGCCAAATGACACCCAATTTGGTATTGTGAGTAAGGCATCAGTCTCAAAACTTGGTGGCTATGAATTCTAGTCCGCCTTATGCACAAAGCCAACTGGGTGACCTTGAGCCAATCACTTTCTCTCAGCCCTATGAAGTAAGCAATGGCAATCCACTTCTGAAAAACCTTACCAGGAAAATTTCAGAGACTTGTCCAGGCATTCTTCAAAAGATTGGGCATGATTGAACGGAAGAAAAAAAAAACCCTGCCAAATATTATAATATTTTTATGATTTATTGAAAAGCTCCTTTGTGGGAGGTTACAGTATAATGCTGAGTTTCTATAATTATTAAGAAAGACTCAAGATATTATTTACTTAAAAGTTCTGTTTAGTTTAATTGCTGGATAATTTTGTTGCTTTGGCAGTAGTTAGAGAACTGACAGATAAAAATAATTAGAACTGAAGTTTACTCTTGAGAAGATGGGAAAACTCCTCCTTTATCTGTGCTTCAGGATTGGACTATATTTCAACTCAGAAAGATTTGGTCAAAGTGTGGGAGTGCAGGCAATTTAGTCTTCCCTGGAGTACTGCATGGTGAGAAGAAAAGAGAGGTGTGGCTCTCATGTAAATGGAGCCACTTGGCCCTAGGGCAAGATTAGCCTGCAGAATCAGGAAATATGAATATTGCTCAGAGCTACATCTTGTGCTGTGATGAAATGCTGAGAAGAGTTTTACACGAATACATTTGTTGCCTGACGAGTTCATTCTCAAGAGCAATTTCTGTTACATATTAAGTGAATTTGCACTCCATACAGGTAGTCCTCGATTTATGATCACAAATTGAACTCAAAATTGATAACGAGTTTGATAACGCCTCTGGCATTGCTTCTGTCCCATAGGTTCATTTTTGACTTTCTTTACTTGTACTCTTTTAGTCCATACCTAGTGCAATTTAGCAGTCTGGAGGAAACTTCTCAATGGATTGCTGGGAAGCCCTGTGATGTGAGAGAGCAGATCTTCCCTCAGTCAAATAAGCAGCCTTTATAAGAATGTTGAACATCTGAACAGTGGCTGAGCAGAAAGCAAACGATAGGATAGCTTCCTTCTTAGGAGTTTATTCAGGATGCTGGAGGAGATAAGAAGTCTCTTCATTCTTTCCACCAATAAAGCCTCACCAGAAAGTTTAGAAGGAGGAAGAGATTGGGGCTCTTCCTGCCCCTTTCACCTAGTCGAGATTAGTACATACAGTGTATGTGAATGTAGATAAATAAATATGTGTAACCATGAACAGATAATCCTCAATTTATGACCATAGTTGTGCCTAAAATTTCTGTTGCTAAGTGAGACATTTGTTAAGTGGGGTTTGCCCCATTTTACAACCTTTCTTGTCAGTTATTAAATGAATTGCTGCAGTTGTTAAGTTAGTAACACAGTTGTTCGATGAATCTGACTTCCCCATTCACTTTGCTTGTCAGAAGTTGCAAAAAACGATTCTGGGATATTGCAACCATCATAAATCTGAACCAGTATCCTAATTTTGATCACATGACCATGAGGATGTTGCATTGTCGCAATGAGTATAAGTGTGAAAAAAAGTCATAAGTCACTTTTTTCAGTGCTGTTGTAACTTTGAATGGTTGTAAATTGAGGATTTACCTATATAACAATAGTTCACAAACCTAATCACTTTCAGAGGATTGGCCATTTGGCTTATATGGAATCATTCCACTTTATTCAATGTGATTCAGAGAATCTGGTTTGTGCTAAAAGGAAGAATGCAAAGAAAGAAACCATGTTAGTTCATGTTAAAGTTTGTTGTTCATTCCCTTGGACCTGATTAGAGTCACATTTTTCAATGTGCTGAATAAAGTACAAAGGAATATATTTATATTAGTTAGGTTTTCATCATAATTAAAGAAGCTGATGAGAAGAGTTGTGGTAATTTATGGCTAATAATAAGCCCATATGATTCACCAATTGAAATAGTTTCATTTTAAGTGTGTATCTCATTTTATGATAGAAAGGTTTATACCTGAGTTTTGGCAACTGAGCTGCCAGAAAGAGAAGGATCCATGCCAGTGGTGGGTTTCAAATTTTTCTACTACCGGTTCTGTGGGTGTGGCTTGGTGGGGGGGTCATGTTGGGGTGGCACCTTGCTGTGAGTGACATCGAGTTGGCCATGCCCACTCAGTCACATGACCCCCACCAAGCCACGCCCACAGAACTGGCAGAAAAGGCAGCTTCCTGCAGCCTGCCCCTTTATGCCCCCCCCTCCACATCAAAGTACCTTAAAAGGACACCGCACTCTGGCTGCCTTCCAAGCAGCTCTCCTGCGGCACAGCAGGCCGTTCTCCTGGCCAGGTCTGGCAATGGAGTGCCGCTGCACATATGCACCGGCAGGCAATAGGGTGTGTGTGTGCGTGACTGGTGTGAAGAACAGGGCGACAGGACTTCAGGTTCGAGACCTGAGTGCTGCCTGACAGGATGAGCTCTTGTTACTTGCCCCAATTTTTTGCAAATGTGAGTAGATAAATAGATGCCATTTCGGCTAGAAGGTTACCGCTTTCTGTATTTTCATGCTGGCCTTTTGATGATGGAAGTCTGGTAAGCTCCTTTTGTAATACACACATTGAAGGACTAAAAAACTGGAATACAAATTGATTCTCTTACAGATTTTCTCTTCTTTTTATATGCACTATAGTTGTTCAGCTGTAGCTCATAAAAGTTCATGATTTTTAATAAAATGCGTTAGTCTGAAAAGGTGCTACCAGATTCCTGATTTTTACTAGAGACTGACATGGCTTTCCTGTTACAATTGTTAAAGTTCTCCCTTTTAGGCCTGTGTTGCAATTAGCCTCTATTGAGTGATCAGTATTGAGAGATAGAGTGTCCTGTCTTATAAAGTAAGATAATCATAAGATCATGATTTAAAAACAATGCAAATCAAGAACAGAAATAATATGCATATGTTGATATAATCTTGAAAAAACAATGAATTTAAAGGCTTTGCTTGGGTATAACTATAGCGTACTATAAACCAAATACAGAGTTTTAAATTTACCAATGTTCTCGTATAGTGAATGCAGCTAGTATAGTCTCTTAGACAAAAACGATAGCTCTTCAAAAGACAAATTTTGTTAAATTGTTCATTGCTTTTATATATACTTGCCTTTGTATGTGTATACACATACACACGTATTTTTTTTCCTTTCTCTTTTCAGTGCCCTGATTATAGCTGCTATATTTGACCGTGATGTTAACTGCAGAAGAGCAGCCTCGGTAAGTTTAATTATAATCTATGGGATAGTATTGAGATGATTTTGCTCAGCAGTACCTTATGTTGTTCAGTAGCTATTTCAAATATTTTACTTCCTAGGTTTACATAAAAACAGAACATTGGATCTCATGTCTCATTCTTCATGTGTAAAGTGTATTGTCTTTGTTTCATTGTTTTTATAACATTGTTTTTATATATGCCAATTGTATGAAGGAACAGCCAAGATTGAAAGAACAGAGTGATCTTTCTGTTATGTCACCACTGGATGATTTTGATTTCAGTTCAAGTTTTTAACATATATAGAAAAGGATCTTTAAAAGACTTAAAAAGAGTCTTTTTATTCAATCTGTTGGTTGGATTACAGCAAACATAAGGATCAACATATTGTATTAACCATTATTAACATATTTGACTGGATAGGGTGAGAAGGCAAGGTGAAGAAAAACTTCATTTCTTTTGTCCCACATGTTCTGCTGGGAGGAATTTCCCTTTCTTCAGGCTTTGCTCTGCTTTCTGAGAAAATCAACAAGCTCAATTCAGTCCTGGATCTTGAACCAACGATTAAAGAAAAGCTTTAGATACTACTGTCAGATCCTCTGATCCTTACCTTCATATTAACACAAACACATTTCTTTTTCCATTATGTTATCAGATGTAAACTCTAAAAATCTAAAAAAGCTAATCAGTTTATCAGTCTTGATTGTTTCATACCTGTCTTTTCTGTATAATTATAGTTATTTACCAGTTTCTGTTGTGGTCACTTCTTTGGGCACGGATGTTAGAAATCCTATTTTTCTCTTATCTTCTATGTCATTTCATTCTTGGTTTTAAAAAAAAAGCTTGATTTAGTATTTTCATATTATCAGCTAGCACTTTACTTTTCATGTATTATACGTATGTCCTCTTGAAGAATAATATTTATTACAAAACATTAAGATATGTATTGTATTTGTATCTTTTTTATATCCTTTTCCATCAGTTTTTCCATAATCTGAAGCAATTTCGTAGTTGTTATTTGTACAATCTGAAACAAACGTCACTCCATAGGCATCATATGTTCACATTCCAATGCATGTTTAACTATTGAATACAAATATTTAATGCTAATTAAATATTTCTTACAAAAATCTACAATACTGATTGTGAGTTAAACCAAGAATTAGTAATTTAAAAGTGCTATTATTTCAGTTTATTAGAATGAAAATTGTGTTTTCCCATGACATAACAATAGATAGAAGCAGAAATAAGTAGCCAATAGCATTTTGGATACTTACCAATAATTCAAGTTTAGACAGATGTAATATGACTCAACACCAAAAAGCAGAATTAATTACCGTAACTAGTTACCTCTCTCACTCTTCCAACAAAGTCATAGTTTCATTCAAATTTAGTCTGCATATGATTTTATATCTTCGCTGAATTCATTTTTCTTCAAATTATTGGTTTCAGAGAATAAAACAGATTGATGAGTTTAATTTACATAATTTAAAATTTGTTAATTTGAATAGATGGACAAGCTATATTGTGAAATTAAAAATATACTAAACTGTTCCAAGTTACTTGCTCAGTTCTCTTTTGATGTCTGTGGGAATTATGTGTAATTTTAGAAATAGGCTGAGTTGTCATCTTTGCATCGTAATGGTAGAAAAAGAATCTTATCTGAAGGCAGTTCCTCCTAATTACTGAAATTTACTTAGATGTCAAACTAGTTGTATATCACTTATAATATACTATTGATCTAAGATAGACAAACATAGGCAAACTCTCCAAAAACATCAATTTTGTATTTTAAAAATCCTTGTCCAACAGAGAAAATGAGAAATATTTTATTACTTGATATTTTAATAGAATATGCAAAAATATTTCACATTTAGCTATTTAGCTATATATTAAATGTGCAATGTTTGTATTGGTGTGTGCGTCTGTATGTGTCTGTGTTTTTTTGTGAATGCGTGTATATACAGAGAGAATCTGTACGTATATATCTATATGAGAACATGTTTTCATACAGCTTAGATGAATGTAGGAAACTCATTGAAATCAATTGGCTTATTCATGAATAAACTGATTTTATAATAAACAGCATATTTGATTTAGTATATTTAAATATATTTGCCCAAAGAATTGAACATGGAATTTCATAAAGTAAATAGGCAGCAAGTCTTTGTTAAATTTGAGTAGCTGCCTTGAAATTGTTTTAATCCTGAGCTGTGGTGGCACAGTGGTTAGAGTGCAGTATTGCAGGCTACTTCTGCTGCTTGTAGGTTGCCTGCAATTTGGCAGTTCAAATCTCACCAGGCTAAAGGTTGACTCAGCCTTCCATCTTTCTGAGATGTGTAAAATGAGGACCCAAATTGTTGGGGGCAATATGCTGACTCTATAAACTGCTTAGAGAGGGATGTGAAAGCACTGTGAAGCAGTATATAAGTCTAAGTGCTATTCCTATTGCTATCCTATACAGCTCTGTTCCAGTCATTGGAAAGAGGAGTTATAAACAGAATGCAACCTCTAAAAAGAAAAAAAAATGTTTTTGTTTATGGAGTCCTTCGGGAGAGGGGACAGTATAAAAATTAAATAAATAATTAAATAAATAAATAAGAAAGGAAGACTGAAATTGCTCTATGGAAATATTTTGGGGCATTTAGATCCCTATTATTGTTAAAATGATTTACCTCAGTGTAAATTCTACCATATTCCGTCTTTCTCCTTTCCTTCTTATATATACAATAACTACCTAGAATTTTAGTTTTGATGACAGATACAGATGTATAAACGCACACAAATACATACTTTTTTTTTTTTTGAAGAAACAACCAGCAGAAAGATGGAATTTACTAGTGTTTCAGTTTATAGTATATGAAATCATATTCACTTTGGAGCATTTTTTATTCAGGATGTATCTTATTGATTCAGAAAAGTGATTTTCTGAAACCTGACCATTTAAGTTAGACATTTTTACTTTTTTCATGTGGCATTGGAATTGCCAGAAAAATCAAGGACAAGTTCAGAGGTTATGGGGAACAGAAGATTTCTTCTAAATTTCATTGAAGCAGAGAGAATCATTGGTGTATCTGAGGGTTCTTAAGTCCTTAAGTACAGTATAATTATCAACTGTTTGGGTTCATAGTTTAAAAAGTTCCATGGCCAAATTCAACTGGCAAAATCATATCAACTGGTTAAAGTTATATGTTAATATTGTCATCTTAAATTTGTACAATATGATAGGTACAAAAAAATTTAAGCAATCATTTTTGCCAACTAAGTATGTATTTTGAGCTCTGAGAAACAGAGTTCTACTCTTCATTCTCCCAAATACTTGAATCTTACCATAATGTGGTTTTATCAGTCAAGCTCGTTTATCTCCCTTTTCTTTCTCATGCAGTACTGAAATATGATACTTGAGTTTTAAAAAATACAAAATAATAATTGATCCAATGTTTAAATCGGAATGTTTTGCATTTTAAAACTTATTTATGAAGTCTATAAATGAGTTATAAATAACTCCAAGCAAGTTAATGCTATGTATCATCTCATATAATGTATAAAAGGAGAAGTTTAGATATATGAAAATGTTAAACGTAGAACACACTGCACATTTATTACTTTATGGAAGTAGTCTGGAAAATCTCTCTCAGTAGCTGTATTCTAAGGGCATTGTCTTTTCATTTCTACTGGAAGCATTGTATCAGCAATGAAGGCCACTGTTCTGGGTGTGTCTGATTTTAATAAACACCCATTTCTAAACTGTTCACACAAAGCATATAAATTTAAAAGAGCATTAGCACATAACAACTGCCTAAGGGCATATTCAGCTAACAAAGTTGACTTTTCATTTTAAAATAAAGCCCATGGGTCATTTATATTGCTGCGTGTTTGTTTTGAATTCATGATCTGGTGTTTATCTGCAAGCAACCTGACTCATTTTTTTATGTTTGCTCTTTCTGTTCTTAGGCTGCCTTCCAGGAGAATGTTGGTAGACAGGTAAGGTAACTTAGGGGGAAAAAAACATAAACCCTTTCATTTAATTTTTTGTAAATCCACTGAAGCATAAAATTAAGTGTAGGTGTTTTGTCACTTCTAGCAGCGAATAAGAGGTTTGGTCAATTTAGTTAAATGATTTTGAAATCTAAAATTACCTTCCAGTCTTAAAAATGATATTATGATGTTTCAGAAATTATGATTTCAGAATATTTTTCTATGATTTCAGAATATTTTTCTGTATTTAATTTGTATTAGACTGGAGCTTTTCAGAAATCAGCATGTGCAAATATTATTTCTTACTCTCTTTGTCAGACAACCCTATCTCTCGTTCTGTTAAGAATGATGTCTGGGTGAGGGGGGGTCAGCTATTTTTATACTGAGAAGCATAATAGGTTTTTTGTGGTACATTGAAGGTTGCACTCAAAAAGTGAATGAAATATATATTAATTAATAAAAAGCTATTAATTTGTAACATGTTTTAGAAATATTCAGCAGAAGGACATGAGAAGATGCATACTTTTTTAAAAAAACTGCCACTGTATCTTAATATTTTATATTGAAATTAAACTATTCCAAACTATCCATGTATCAATATCTTTCTACATATCGTTCAATATGTCTTAAATATATATCATCCTTACAGGTTCTGTTTGTCTGATTTTTTTTACTTAACTCCTTATTTTTAATGTTCTGTTATTTTAATGTACGTCCCTCGTCCCCCCCAAAAAACTTTTATCAAAGGATCAGAAATTCCTTATTTATACAAATCACTCAACTCAATTTTTAAACATGTCATTTCAGCATCACATGGAATAATATTATTTGGCCTTTTCATTTTACCAATTGGGATCCAGTTTAGACAGAAACAACACACATTATTAAACCAAAATTGTAATACTATGACCATGTAATCAGTGGTGGGTTGCAACCGGTTTAACAACTGGTTCTGTGAGCGCGCACTTGCGTGCAGCGTTCAAAATAGAGCAGTTTGAAGCTCAGCTGCTTACCTTCTAAGGCAGCCCCAGTACGTAGAACAGTGGAGGCATGGAAATCAGCTGTGCTGTGTGAATCATCTGAGCCAAAAAGAAGGAAATATAGGACAGGGATAGGGCGGGGATGTGTAGGCGGGGACAGCTGATCATCGGAACTACCGGTTCGCCTGAACTGGTCCGAACCGGCAGCAGCCCACCACTGCATGTAATCTTTCCAAACTTGAAGAATAGTTCTTTATATAATTGTAAATCCCAAATTGATAATATTTTGTTAAAAATTATATCCATGGTTAAACTGTATCAATCATGGTAATATTATATAGATACAATGGGAAAATCCATATCATAGGAGTAAATGTCCCTTCACCATTTTATAATGAGGTTGATGGCCAACTCTTTTTAAACATTCTCAGATGTGTCCAATAAAACATGAAAGGAAACAAATGTTCCCTTTCTTACCTTTAAATCACGAGAAACATACTTTTTAGTCTTTGAAACCTTTAAACCATTGATTAGTTAATATAGATATCCTAAGTCTGTTCAGGATTCTTTTAAAAACACCTATATTGGTAATATACTTAGTTGTTTATCAAAAGTACTACTTAAAATAATCTTAAACAGATAACAGCATTGACATTAATTCAGAAATTCTAGGAACTGTGAAATGCCAGTATAAATTAAATCAAAAATTTTAATTTATACTGCCATTTCACAGTTCCTAGAATCTTAAGTCTGCTTCTAAGCAATTTATTGATGACATTCGGCATTACAGTTTATTTCTAGACTTCAGCAAGTTGCATTGCTAAATTTTGATATCGAATAGTTTGCTGATTCCTTACTTAAAAATCCTACCATCAAACTACAGGTTTCCTTAATGTAGAAACTTTCTAAATCCATATTTCTTTCTTCCTTCTTTTTAATCTATGGAATATCAGAGTTAAAATCTTAATTAATTTCTAAATTAACTCAGCTTCTCTGGACTTTATCTTGTTGGTCTTTTTGGCTGCAGGGGAACATAAGAGCCTTTTGATGATTACTGAAGCAGTTCCTGAGTTTGTCCCTTTTAGAGAGTTCTGAATATCTATAATGTCAGCTACTTGGGCATTTGATTCATTTAGTTCCAACTAAACTTCCATAGGACTGGGATTTGAAGTTTTAATTGATAGAATTGGACTCTTGTGCACACATAGTTATATGAATGTTAAAATCACTGCTCATCATCTTCATATTATCTAACCTTGCCTTACATTCTGCTGGTCTATGGATTCTGCTTTGAATAGCATACTTTATTTGGCCAAGTGTGATTAGACACACAAGGAGTTTGTCTCCAGTGCAGAAGCTCTCAGTGTACATGCAAAGCAACAGAATAATAATAATCCTAATAATGATACCAATAAGAGGGTGTAGTAGAGAGGATGAGAAGGATGATAATAATACTATAGCCATACCACATGGGTGAATATATACAGTTATCAGAGCAACCAGTCAGAAGTCATTCAGCTTATAGTTAGACAAATTATTCCTGGAACAAAATGTCCCTTTTTATCAATGAAGAACATAAATAATTTAGTAAAATTTAACTGAGATATTCCATTACATTGCTGGATGACAAGTTGCCATTGATTTACCAATATTCATAGTACTGTAGTTTGCATAATGTTAAGCAGAAGCCCTTGTAGGACAATTGGGAAAAGGGAACAATAATAAGAATAGGACTATTTCAGAAAAATAGAAATAGAAGAAATTTGTCCCATTCTATATCATCTGTCTGAAAATAAATCCCAGGGGGACCTTGTTTAACTATTCTTTACCTAATCTTTTGAGTTAGTATTTTAGACCTTTATGGATTCTGAAAGAAAACGAAATAAATCCTGTTGGTTTAGAATTCATCTACTATTGAAACTTTTACAAATTTTCAGAAAGGAATAAAAACAGTAGAATAAAAACAGTAAAATGTCCATTTATTGGATTTGTATATAAAATATACGTATATAGTTTAATCTTCTATAGCTGCATATGGATTTTTTTTTAATAGAGGATTAGATTAAAGGAGAATCTACTTTTGTTCCATTAGCATCTGATTATATTATAAATCCCAAAAATGCAATTTGTTGAATAAATCCTTTATTGGAATGCCCCATTGCATTACATATTATGCTGGTTTAAATGCACTGCAACCTTATTTTGGGCACCTGTTCCTTGATGAATCATTCATTTAATATAGTTTTACTCTTTCAGCATATGTACTGAATTGCCTAGAGTTGTTTTAATTAAAAATACACCCAAATTCTTCCCTCAAAGGATAGTTTCAGATTGATTCCTTTTAAATTGCTGTTTTCTCTTTATACTTGATTTGTTGTTCACTGCACAGTGTCTTAATTTGCCAATCTACAAATATTATAAATAAATAAATAAATATGCTTTCCTTCACATCAAAAAGCAAGTGCATTATTTAAACAAAACAGAGTACAGTAGGTGTTCCATGTAATGTACTATCACACTTCTACCATTTTAAATATTGTCGGCCCTGCCTCTGGATCAGGACCACAAGTCTTATAGGCCGGAAGAAAATTATATTCTTTCCTTTTCTCTATCAGAGAAAGCCTTCATTTGCAATGAAGATGACACACTGAAAAAAATTATTATGTTGTATCTACAGCATTAAAAAAAAAAAAAGTTTAAGCTCTTTCCTGTCTAACATGAGCTTAGTCTTGATTATGCTATCCTGAAGCAACAATTTATAATTGAAACTATAAATGCTTCACCTGCAGTTTAACATAATTTAGACCAATTCTCATAATTAATATTCAGTGTGAAAAATCCACCAAAAGAAAAAAATAAGATATAGAAAAATAAAAAAATAAGATAGAGACAACATAGGCGAAATACTCCTTCTCAAGAGGACCCATGGTATTTTCTATAGCCCTTTAACATATTGTTTTTTTCTGGGTAGCTTGAGGCTGCTTAGTGATCTTCAGAATGAAGCACTGAATTGTAACTACCACTTTTATTTAACAATGGGACATGACTCATAAAGCATTCTATGATACAGAGTTGATGTTAGAACCTGACTATCTACTTTGTACATAACCATCTTCTTTTTTAAAAGAATCAAGAAAGACGGAGACTTTAATTGCATCCTCACTGAAGTCTCCATGGTGATGAGTTTAGAAATCTGGGTTGCTTGTAGCCACATTTGGTTTTCTTTTTGTTTTTGATACCCAGTACATGTTCATGCTTGGTGTATTCAATCTTTGCTGCCTTAGGGATTTGTCAACTTTTGTATTTAATGTTAGTCCTGACTCCTACCTGTTCTGAAATCCAAGCCACTCCTTTAGATGTCTCTGCACCCTGAGGTGGCTGTTACCACACCCTCCATTGACTATTTCTCACTGAGATGGCAAAATAGTCTGGTTCACCTGATGAGTATGATAGTGCTAGAGAGAGAGAGAGAAGATACTTAAAAGTCAGTTTAGCTTAGTTCTTTCTTTTATCAGTACAATTTTCTGAATATTTTAGTTCTAATTATTTGGATGTTGCTTGGAGATGCGTCTTATGGTTTGATCATAGTTGAATGTAAGGGTTTTTTCCCTAGCCAAATTGCTTTTTATAAATTACCAACCTTTGCTTGGAACACCAGCTTATGATCCTTGTACCTAACCTCTTATCTTGCTCAAATGTTGGTATTTATTACATACATAGGACATATATCTTGAATATTAGTAATAACAAAAAGTTAGATTGGTTTTTCAAAGAAAGAAAAGGGAGTTTTAAATCCAAGAAGGAGTAGATTATAGGCTGTGGTGTGTCCCAAGTAGAAGTGTGGCAAACGTGTAGGATGTTCAGTTCTGTATGTTGTCATGCCAACAGTTTTTATAAAGGCAAAATTACCTGTCTCATTATCAAGAAATGCTACGAGTAAACACCCTACTCTGACTTCATCTTTTTTTTAAGTGGGTGGTATTTTCAACTTCTTAACCTGCAGTGTTGACATAATTGATGTAATTTCAATTTATTAGACTCTATGTCCAAATCCTTAAGAGCTGTTACAAATTTATATGATTATTCTATTTCAAAATAAAGTACAAAATAATCACAAGAACATAAAAGCATAACATCCCTCCTGGATTGGACCATAGGTCCATCTAATTCAGCACTTTGGATTATGCCACGACTTTGACACTCCTGGTTTATTTATTTATTTTTATTTTATTTTATCAAAATTTATATGCTGCCCTTCTCCAGTAGGACTCGGGACGGCTCACAGAATAAAAAACAACATAACAATAAAATAATGTTAAAATAAGCCAAATTAAAATCCCCAGACAATTTAAAACCCTCGTGGCAGATCAGGGAATTTGCTGAAAAAGCCATGTCTTCAGGTCGGCGTGGAAAGTGCGGAGGTCGGGGGCCGTCCGGAGCCCGGTGGGTAACCCATTCCAGAGGGTCGGTGCGGCCACAGAGAACGCCCTCATCCTGGGGGCCGCTGGCCGACATTGTCTGGCCGCAAGCACTCGGAGGAGGGCAGTCCTATGTGAGCACACTGGGCGGTGGGAGGCCGGTAGGAGGTGGTCCTGCAAGTACCCCGGGCCCATGCCATGAAGGGCTTTGTAGGTAAGCACCAGCACCTTGAACCAGCTCCGAAGGGCTACCGGCAGCCAGTGCAGCTCACGCAGGAGCGGTCTTACACGGGAGTAACGGGAGGCTCCCGTAACAACCCGCGTGCTCGCATTCTGGACCAGCTGGAGCCTCTGGGTGCACCCCAAGAGCAGCCCCATGTAGAGGGCATTGCAGTAATCCAATTTAGAGATTGTAGAGATTATTTGTGGCTTGGGTGGTAGATTTAGGCAGAGATTTGTCCACCGAGCTTGCTGCTTGGCTCCCGGGAAATGTCCAGGAACCAAGCAGCAAATTTGGCGGACAAACCTCTGCCTAAATAAAGAGGAATTATTTCTTTATTCATTACCTGAGGCACTTCTTCATGATCTTCTCATATGGAAGGTTTTCCTCAATGGTCATTCTGTGGACTCTCCCCTCCATGAAATCTTACCTGTTACTTACTGTAGTTTGGTATTTTGGTGCCATATGAAGCCCATTTCATTTTTCCACCTAAAAAGCAAAGTTGTTGCTTGAGAACTTTAGTCTTTTGTTACAAGTTGTTGATTTGATTTTTTTGATATATATTTATTGCCTCTTATATTGCTGTCCTGTTTTATGTAGTTGTGCTATTCTCCAGTGCTTCTTTTAATATGATTTTACATTGTTTTTTTATTGATAGAAAACTTCCTAACATTTACTGTAAACTGCCTTTCTGTAACTTAGAGCCATTATTCTAGGCCTTGCCTTCTCAAATAGAGAATATTGCATTCTGGTATGTAACTTTTCAAGTGTTTAGATAACGTTACCATGTTTCTTTTCAGTTGCCTTTTCTCAAGATTAAACACTTTTAGTTCACACAGTCTTTCTATATAGGAGAGTGTTGAATCTGATAATGCTCATTATCTTTTGGATCTGTTTCAATTTGTCTGAACCTTCCTTGATATGTAGTGATATAAACAGAAGGGTGGTAATCAGTGCAGACTATGATGGATATATTGTTGCCATGGTAAAAATATCAGGATTTTAATGATACATCTTAAAATTGTGTTTGTCTTTTCTGTAGCCATGTTATCCTGCTGACTGACATTCAGCTTGTGATCAGCTATAAATTCTTCTCATATATACTGTTAACCAAGAAAAGTATCCCCCATTGTATACTTGCATTTTTATTCATTTTTCCAAATTGAAGTGACTCTTCTTTGCAGAAATATTTCTTAGGTATATATTACTACATATACTTGAGACATTGGGAAAAGAAAATCATAAAGGGTTTTGAAGAATCTCCAGATCAGTGGTGAAGATTTCAGCCTAGAACATTAACATTTTATGCAAAATAGAAAAGCTTGTGAACTCTGCCAAGGAGGAGATGAAGAGATTACAAATTGATATCCTAGGGATAAATGAGATGTGTTGGAAAAATCTGGGTAACTTGATACAATAATTGAAGGAATATTTTACTTTAGAATTGGTATTACATTGGAGGTCCAGTAATGATCCTGGGAAGTAAATAATTTTATACCCAAATATTATAATATTATAACTATCAAGATATCTTATCTGTATTAACATCCATATTTATGACTCTACGGCAGATAAGAGAGCATACAAAATAATATGAAATAATCATCTTAATAGGCCAATTCAGTGGGAAAAATAATTATGAAGCTCTGATAATTTAATATGGCCTGTGTATTAGATATAAACCTGGTGATATTTTGGTACAGTTGGTGTAGAAGAGCAATATACAGTTATCAATACTGTTATAAATGAATATCTTAAGAGTTTATATTCTTGAGAATCATCTGCAAATGCACAAAAGCATAAAAGATTTAAGGTGAAAAAACATCTAGGAACAGATAAAGATTCTAGTAACAATCTAGTAATGGCTGATGAGAGATGATTGAAAATAATCAAGCATATAAAGGAAAGTACAGTGGTAGAAAATAATTCAGTAGTAACTGAAATGAGAGATTGAAAATCATCAAAAATAAATGAAAATAGTAGATTGATATGAATAAACTATTATCATGGATGTTATTACTAAAACATAGTTATAAAATTAACAACTAACAAGTATGATGCAAAGGAAAACTGAGAAATGATTAATAACACACACACACAAAGATTCTCAGATAAAAAGAAAGAAAGAAGAAATGGATGACAAATGTAATTTTAAGGCTAACAGAAGAATGCCATAAAAGTAAAAATCTAAATAAGGAAAACCACAAATAAATGGATCAAAAGATCAGGAAAGGAATTCAACCCCAAGTTATGACGGCACTGAAACAACTAACTTATAATTGGCTCTTATACTTAAAACTCAGAGTATCTCTCTTGTCATGTGACTTTGATTCAGGAACTTGGCATTTTTTGTGCATTAATGTTGTTTACAGTATCCCATTTCTGACATTCCATTTGTGACATTCCCAGTTGGGTAACCAATTTGTGGTTGTAAATTGAGGACTACCTGTATGATTGAATAATGCATATGCAGTATTATTATGAATGTCATTTATAAATAATAAATTATGCAGCTGCATTAACAATAATCCAGTTATGACTGAAATGATTAGTGGAGATAGTTTACCAGATTTACAAATGTTACTCAAATTATGCCAAGTAAATTTTGTGGGATATATAGACAATTTCAAATAAATAAAATAAGTGTAGTAGTTATGTCAATGTAAATACTGTACTTGGGCTGTGTGATATGGGAATCATATCATGAAAATAAGGAATAGAATTGAATGGGCAAGATTATCTTTTTGAAAAATAAACTTGTTTTTAGTAGTTAAGTCTGAAACTTCGATAGCAGATTATATACTGTTAATTTTTTTGTATGAAAAAGATGCACAGACAATGACTCAAATTACAACCAGAAAAATAGAAGTCCACCTCTCTCCCTCTTCCTCTCCCCCCTCTCTCTCTCCCTCTCTCCCTTCCTCCCTCCCTCCCTCCCTCCCTCATACTTGTGTCCAAAATGACACTACAGTAATTCAAAATGGAAGGGAGTGGGTGCTGTTTTGCAACATTTTAGAATCCAAAGTGTCTGTTTTGCTCTGAAGGATTTATTTGAGACACATAGTTGTCATAAATACATTTTATACTTGGATCATTTAAAAATGTTATTGCATGTGCTATATATGTAATAACTATTATATAATAATACAAATTATACCATTAACACGGTTATTTATAGCAAATTTATTTATAAATAAAACTGAAAGCAAGTTTTGGTCATATGGAAACTAATGAGATGTCAGAGTTAACGTAAGGAACAGGTAGTCCTTGACTACCCAATACAGGTAGTCCTTGACTTACAACAATTTGTTTAGTGACCATTCAAAGTTACAACGGCACTGAAAAAAATGACTTATGATTGTTTTTCACAGTTTCAACCTTTGCAGCAACCCTATGATCATATGATCAAAACTCAACTGCTTGACAGTTGGTTCAAATTTATGATGGTTGCAGAGTCCCAGGGTCCCTTTTGTGACCTTCTGACAAGCAAAGTCAATGGGGAAGCCAGATTTACAACTGTATAACTAACTTAACAACTGCAGTGATTCACTTAACAACTGCAGCAAGAAAGGTAATAAAATGGAGCAAAACTCACTTAACAAATGTCTCGCTTAAAAATAGAAATGTTGGATGCAATTGTCGTAAGTCAAGGACTATCTGTATTCTAAGGCAATGTATAATTTGTAATAAGGAGGAGCACATAAAATTAAGTATGCCTTCTCAATTGTTCTTGGTTTGGGATAACTTTTTCCTTTAGTGCTGATATTGGCATTGTTTGTTTACCAAGTTAATACCAGAATATTTATTCTAATGGTGTATTTGGTTGATTATAAAATATAATTTGTTTTCTTTATGTGTTTCATACTATAAAATTGTTGTTTTTTTTCTTGGCTGTGGTGGTCTTAAAATGTGTACCTCAAAGTGCATTTTTATTTACCTTACTGGGTAGTTCTGGTTTTTATATACAGTACTTTACATTTTTTCTATATTCATTTGTCTTATGGTTAATATTTATATTGATCTGTATAATTTTGCTTTTAATATGAATTTATAAAAACGAGGAATTCTATGCCATCCAGATGGCTTTAATTGGAACAGTTTGTAAGCATTGTGAATAAGTAAACAGATCATACAGAATATCTACTTTGGAAGACCATCTAAGTATCGGCAATATTTTTTTAGATAGTGCTCTTCAGGGACTGCAGAGATTTATAAAAAGTTCACAATTGTTCTCAAGTATTCCTAAATTCTAAGTAAAATCAATAATGGTTTGTAGTCCTTTCTCCCTGCGTTCATACATTTTATTGGTGCTTTCATCCCTTCCTTTCCCTGGTCTTGTTATGAGAGTTGAAGGAGACTTGTTCTCACTGAAAGCAAATACTCATTTTATGTGGTCTGGAACTTGATAAAGTGTAATAGGTTATATTGTAATTCGGGGAAATACAAATATAAATATCAATTTATTTTTTCATTTAAAATTTGCTCAGGAAAATGTAGGAGAAGGTGGGATATGGGGAGGTTTGACCCAGAATCACCCTATATTCTGTTTAAGTTTAGTTTAAACATATGCATTAAAATGCATCTGTAGCCTTCTGATTTATTGAGATTTTAGTAAGAATTACTGAAAACTGAGCTATAGACTGTGCACATCCAAGCAGTTGAAGAATATTGAATATGCTTCAGCATTTTGTATTAACAATTTTAATGCTTGTCTTCTATCAACCAGTAATTTTTGGAAAGTAAGTTGGATAATTACCAACAACAGTTTCATTCTGTGATTGAATTTATAAAGCAGAATATATATCTTTTTTCCAGAGGAAAGTTATTCTAATAATGTGCTAGCAACTTTTCAAAGTAAAAAATTGGGAATTAGGTATGATTTCTATTTTTCTCTCCTTTCATAGGGGACTTTTCCACATGGAATTGACATTGTGACTACAGCTGACTATTTTGCTGTTGGTAACAGAGCTAATTGTTTTCTCAATATAAGGTAAGAATATTATAAATTTAAAGCAAAGAAGAAACATGTCATTATTGTTCTTTAAAATTTATTTTCATATAGTAATGATATTGGGTACTACAGTATAATATTAATAATACTGGGAGAAGATCAGCATGGTCCTACAATGTTCTTTGTTGAATGAACTATGACATGCTGGCATTTTATTTTTCTTAGAACTGTCTAATTACAAGAAATTTCAGAGCCCACAGATTTGATTTAGAACAAAGACTAAGAGGCAGGATGTTATGGTAGTGAGATGGTAGTGAGATTTTTAGAAAGAATGGAATAGAATAGGAATAGGAATAGGATTAGGAATAGACCTAGTTCAACCCCCTGCTCAAGCAGGAGAACCTCTACCATTTCAGATAAGTGACTGTCTAGTCTCTTCTTAAAAACCTTCAGTGATGGAGCACCCATGATTTCTGAAGGCAAGCTGTTCCACTGGTTAATTGTCCTCTTCGTTAGGAAGTTTCTCCTTAATTCCAGGTTGCTTCTTTCTTTGTTTAGTTTCCATCTATTGTTTTTTGTCTTGCCCTCTGGTTAACATAGAAGTTTGTGATAACCAAAGACTCAGGATCCATTGAGTCTTAAGGCACCAAAATGTCCTTTAAAACTCACTGCTCAAAGCAACACTTTGTTTTGGCAGTATTAATAATAGAAGTGTTATTTGTGCACGTGTACCTACATGCTGAGGGGTCATGTGGAAACCCTTGGAATATCTGCATTTCTAAAGGGATGTAGTGCTTGGAAACTTCAAGCTGAAGTTTATATGGCATTTCACAGAACAGCCTTCCACATAGTCCTGTTCTTAACTTTCTTAAGGTATTCTAACAGAGCTCAGATCTGCCTGTAAGATTCACTATGAGTATCTGTCCTTATCTAGCTTTCCTCACTTTTTTTATTGGGTTAAGATAGCATGCAGCTCTTAGTTTTAACTGTTTCCAGTTAGTTTAATTCTTTTTGGGAAAAAATTACAGTAATTTTTCTGACTTAGGGAAGACATTCAAAACTATAATACACTCTGAAACAATTTAGCCATACTCTTACTAATTCAGTCTACATCAGCCCAAAACCAAAATGTATCCTGATCATCAGTTTGAATTCTCAGACCTGTGAAACAAAATCCAAGTAGCCACTAGTTTATATGAGTGAACTAATGGGAAGGTGAAATGTACTGGTCAAAGATTTAAAAGCATCTGTTTGGTGGGAAGGCACATGCCCAAGAAAAGAGTCCTCCAGGAAAGAATTTTTTTCTGTTCTGACCAGATAACACGTTCTTCATAAATGTAGTCTGACCTCCTGGTTTTGTGGGGCAGAGTATGAACTCCTACTTTAGGGAGAAAGTATCTTCATATATTAAAAAGTTGAAGTGTGCTTTCTTATATCTGTTACTACATAGGTCCTAAGTTACAATATTTCTGATCCTTTAATCTGTAAGGATCTCCATGCTACTCCACCCTTCTTTCCTACACCTTCTTCCTACACACAGCCAGTTTCTCAACTTTTCTTTCCATGGCTCAAGAATAACAAGACAATGCCAATAGGGTGGAAACAATTCTTTCCAGTTTTTCTTAAACAGCTGGTTAAGAATGGTGATAATTATGGGTCTTTTATGACCTGAAATACAAATGTTCCATTCTCTGCAAAAGGTGATGGTCAAAGATTTGATGGTAACCCTCATGATCCTTAGGAAATAATGGCTTACAGACTTGCCTTTCTGAAGGAATGACAAATTATTTTAGAATTGCTTTTTAAATGATTCACATAAATGAAAGGATCTATCTCAGTGATAGGGTTTTTTTTTTATTGAGGAATGTCTTGGCTTTTTTTTTTTTTTTTCTCTGTTCTCTCCTGTCCTTCTCAATTCAGTCCTTTGAAGGGAATAGAAAAATTTTGGACCTTTGCATTCTGAGCAGCTGTTTTAAGGATTTTAGAAGCAAGTTTGTTTTAACTGCTGTAATTCTAATGAATAACAATAAGGAAAATATTAATTGTAATAATTAATATCCTCACAATTATGCATTTTAAACTGGATTGGAATGGTTGTAATCATTGCTCCTAAACATTTAATACTTCCTAGACAATGTTGCATACCTTAACATCCTACAATTTAAAACCCTGTAAATTCTTGAATCTGCTTCCGGGATTTTGTCAATAGCAGAAAAATTATCCAACTTTATTTTTAAACCTGCTACTGCATGGCATTTAGCTAATCAAATTGCAATTGAGATACATCTCTGGATTTCAAGAAAATATGAATTTGTAATCTGCAATACTTGATTACGAAATGTTCTGTTTTATATTATTTTGAAAATTATTGTTATAATCTATAGTAGAATTCAACAAAATTGCTTAGAATGGACACTCTTGTGAAAAATATGGATGTCTAATCTCTTTATTTGACCTAGTAAGTACAATGAATTTAATTATAGAGATGAATTTGTGTCTTACTGTAATAGCAGTATATTCTCTTACGGCTCATAAATCCTCCTTAAATATTAGAAGTGCAATAGATGACTATTACCTTCCAGCTTGTGAGTTTCCAGAGTTCATTGTATGAAGCAAATGCAGCACCATATGACCATTTTTTATATTCTAGTGAAAAAATATAGAAAAAAATATATTTTAAAATTGATGGTATAGAAATCTTTGACAGAATTATTAGGAAAACAATTCCTTTGTTATAGATAGGAATATGGCCCCAACATTACATGAAACAAATTTTGAGTAATCTTCCTGTGGTTTTTATGTATTTCTTCAATCTCCTCAGTGTATATGTTGCTGGGTTTCCTGAGTATACACAGCCAATGATAGATCATCTGATTAACATGAAGATCAACCACTGGGATAGGTATGTTTACTAGTGCTAATTTGTAATAATCTGATCATAAAAAACAACCCTTTTCTAAAATCTGTTAGTAATGTATTTTTTTTCCTTTTTCTTTGATCTAAAATTTCACTTTTCTACAAACTGCTAACACTAGTTCACTCATTTCTGAAGAGTATGGTGTCATTCAAATCAAATTTAGTAATGAAATGAATTAATGCCAATATTTTCCTTTTTGAGATTGAATTAATAATGGTGAGTCTTTAGCTGATATACTCACTATTTTGTTTTTATTTTTGTACCTTCCTGTGGGGTAGCTTGGACTAATCTCTGCAATCTTCTTGGCAAGGCTTTTTGGAAATAGTTTGCCATTGCCTCTTTCCTAGGGTCGACAGAGTCACTGGCCCAAGTTACCCAGCTGGCTTTGGGCCTCAGGCAGGAGTAGAATTCACAGTTTTCTAATATCCAGCCTTGTGCTTAACAACTAAGCAAAGGCAGTCAGATAACTAGAGGAGAAAGAAATAGAAAGACGGTACAAAGTGAACACTAGCTTACTCTCTGATAAATCAGTGGCAACAGCATTATGAAAGTACATATAGAGTCAACATTTCAAATGTTCTCACCACTCCAAAAATGAAATCCTGATTCATTCTGCTTTTTTCCTGGAACACTGGACATTCTGAGATTTTTTTGGTTTGTGGAAGTGACTATTCCAGAAAAGAAAGCAAATAGCAATGTTACAGACCATAGCTTCTATTTAAAAAGTAGTGGATCTCTACTTTAGCAGCTTCAGTTTCATTGATCAGAAACTTTGGAAGCCCAACAGTAGTTGTATTTAATGAGGTTTTTTTTCTAACTAACACTCTGTGTTTCCACATTTGTACTTGTACATGAGTGGGTGACATAGAAATATGCAAAATAAATTACATATTACATATTCTCCTCTTTCTTCCTAAATTTTTAGTGTTATTCGGGAGTTTTCAGCCGAAGCTCTGCATAATCTCACTCCATTGGCTCCTGAATATATAACCAGGGAAGGTGAGTACAAACACTCTTGCATTCAAAGGTGCCTAGAATGAGTGTAATAAGAAATCAACACTTAATATTATATTTGCACACTTACAAACTATATAAGCACCTTGATCAAGATATTTACTTAGCAGTATATATGTATGTGTGTGTGCGTGTGTGTGTGTGTTTATAGAATAATTCCAATTCTCAAAAGCTTATTACATAAAATTTACAGATGTATTCTTTTGCCTAACATGTGACAGACTTTCTGGTCGTCTTTGTTATGCTTATTATTTTCTGTAACACTTTCCTATGTATTTTAAATTAATTAACAATTATGAATAGAAGTCAGCAACAAAGAATGTGATAACTATTATTTTAACAGGTTTTTGTACTTCGCACAGAAATGTAAGTTTCATGTAGCAAGCGCAAAGCGGACATAGGCGCATGTTAACTTTTGCCCTAATCTTACAGTTAGGGATTAGATTGCTTATTAAAAATATAAGCCCACATGGAGACTGCTATAAAAGGAAGTAGTCCCAGGCTAGGAATTATTAGAAAGATTATTTTAAAACTGCTAATATTGTAGCACCCTTTTATAAATTTAGGATGGGGTCACAGCTGGAACACTATGAACAGTTCTAGTCATTGATCTTAAAAAAGGATAACATAACATAGGAAATGATGCAGAAATTAATAATTAAAAGGAGTATAAGAAATGAAGCAAAGACTATGGCACTTGGGTTTTGTTTTGTTTTTTTGCTTAAAATAAAGATGGATAGAGAAGTTTGAATTACCCCTTTCCATTTACCCTGTTGGAATTCGGAGTCATCAATTGAAGCTTAATGCAATCATAAGAAATATTGTAGAATATGATGCCACCAACTTAGATGGGTTTAAAAGCAGTCTGACGAATTCAGGCAATCAAATGATACTAGTCTTGAGGTCTCTCTATTGGTGGGATATAATAGCTCCTGACATCTTGTCTATTGTTGCAAGTTTCCTAAATGTACAAAATGCTAAAATAGACCTTTTCCTAATCCAGAAGGCTTATTTTACATTCTTATGTCTATGGAGATTTTCAGTCATTCAAGTCATGGTTATCCCAAAGGTGCTTTTTACAAAAGGCAATTGGACTTTGTTTTTCCTTGAAGATATATCACTTCTCATCCAAGAAGCTTCTTCAGTTCTGACTGAATGGTGCACTGAAGAAGCTTCTCGGATGACAAGCGAAACATCTTCAAGGAAAAACAAAGTCCAGTTGCCTTTTGAAGAAAGCACCTTCGGAACTTACATTCTTACAGTGGGGCAAAAAAGTATTTAGTCAGCCACCAATTGTGCAAGTTCTCCCACTTAAAAAGATGAGAGAGGCCTGTAATTGTCATCATAGGTAGACCTCAACTGTGAGAGACAAAATGAGAAAACAAATCCAGACAATCACATTGTCTGATTTGGAAAGAATTTATTTGCAAATTATGGTGGAAAATAAGTATTTGGTCACCTACAAACAAGCAAGATTTCTGGCTCTCACAGACCTGTAACTTCTTTAAGAGGCTCCTCTGTCCTCCACTCAATACCTGTATTAATGGCACCTGTTTGAACTTGTTATCAGTATAAAAGACACCTGTCCACAACCTCAAACAGTCACACTCCAAACTCCACTATGGTGAAGACCAAAGAGCTGTCGAAGGACACCAGAAACAAAATTGTAGACCTGCACCAGGCTGGGAAGATTGAATCTGCAATAGGCAAGCAGCTTGGTGTGAAGAAATCAACTGTGGGAGCAATAATTAGAAAATGAAAGACATACAAGACCACTGATAACCTCCCTTGATCTGGAGCTCCACGCAAGATCTCACCCTGTGGGGTCAAAATGATCACAAGAATGGTGAGTAAAAATCCCAGAACCACACGTGGGGACCTAGTGAATGACCTGCAGAGAGCTGGGACCAACCTAACAAAGGCTACCATCAGTAACACATTACGCCGCCAGGGACTCAGATCCTGCAGTGCTAGACGTGTCCCCCTGCTTAAGCCAGTATATGTCCGGACCCATCTGAAGTTTGCTAGAGAGCATTTGGATGATCCAGAAGAGGCTTGGGAGAATGTCATATGGTCAGATGAAACCAAATTAGAACTATTTGGAAGAAACACAACTTGTTGTGTTTGGAGAAGAGAGAATGCTGAGTTGCATCCAAAGAACACCATACCTACTGTGAAGCATGGGGGTGGCAACATCATACTTTGTGGCTGTTTCTCTGCAAAGGGACCAGGACGACTGATCCGTGTACAGGAAAGAATGAATGGGGCCATGTATCGTGAGATTTTGAATGCAAACCTCCTTCCATCAGCAAGGGCATTGAAGATGAAACGCGGCTGGTCTTTCAGCATGACAATGATCCCAAACTCACTGCCCGGGCAACGAAGGAGTGGCTTCGTAAGAAGCATTTCAAGGTCCTGGAGTGGCCTAGCCAGTCTCCAGATCTCAACCCCATAGAAAACCTTTGGAGGGAGTTGAAAGTCCGTGTTGCCCAGCGACAGCCCCAAAACATCACTGCTCTAGAAGAGATCTGCATGGAGGAATGGGCCAACATACCAGCAACAGTGTGTGCCAACCTTGTGAAGACTTACAGAAAACGTTTGACCTCTGTCATTGCCAACAAAGGATATATAAAAGTATTGAGATGAACTTTTGATATTGACCAAATACTTATTTTCCACCATAATTTGCAAATAAATTCTTTCCAAATCAGACAATGTGATTGTCTGGAGTTGTTTTCTCATTTTGTCTCTCACAGTTGAGGTCTACCTATGATGTCAATTACAGGCCTCTCTCATCTTTTTTAGTGGGAGAACTTGCACAATTGGTGGCTGACTAAATACCTTTTTTGCCCCACTGTACATTCGTAGTCTCTGAGGCGTCTTTGCCCTTTTGAAAACCCCATTAGTCTCCTATTTTCTAATCTACCATAAGAAAATATGTTCTCTCTAGAAAATCTCTGTATAGAAGAGATTGTTGTATAAAAAAAAACCCTTACCACTTTTTGTATTATGTGTCTTACAGTTTTACCAAAGCTGCTGCCTTTAGCAGTTGGTATAGATCTCCATACTCGTCATGGAGCAATTCTAGCATGTGCTGAGATCACCCATGCGTTGAGTCTTCTAGCAGAAGAAAAGAAGAGGTAACAAGAACAATACTGTCTATTTAAATGTCGTTTACCGTTTCACCATTTCATCATGTAAAAATCTTAACAAATGGTAGTTGCATAAAGTACAGTTTTCAAAGTATCATATAGTAATTCATATTTTCCTAGTTCCTATATAAAGAAATTTTAAAGCTACAACTCAACCATCACTCTGTATGATTATTTGATCACTATTTATTACTTACTATTATCAGGAATTTCTTTTACTGTTGGTATCATCCATCAGCTTTTTGTAGTTTACCTTTGTAGATCAGAAAAGGGGTCACTAAAATTGTCATATACAGTAACAGTGTTTAAATTATCTTATTATTTCCCCCCTATTAGGTACAGTATCATATTTCATGAGTGCAGTTGGTTTTTTAAAATTATTTTGAATTATTTATTTCTCATATTCTGTTATTAAATGTGATCCTCTATCTAAGAGTTTACATTCATCAGATACAAAAAAAAGTATTATTTATTTGAAGTACTGGTATATGCTTTGACTGTGAATATAAGTCAGCATAGTTCAAATCTTTTTCTTTACTTCTGACTTCTCATAGTGAAAAACTATGGAGATTTCTTCTTATGAGTCATTATAAAGGAAACAAGGCTTAGATATTCCAATAAATTGATGAATATAAGCTGCGAACCATTATCCACATCTTCCTCTACTTTATAGTAGTTACTAGAGAACTAGAACATTTAATTATTTGTGAAAATTTTTTTGGCATTATTTAAAACTTAAAGGATTAGAATTATGGATTGCTTTAGTATAAAACACATTTTTTAAAACCTAGGTATGGCTAGGTGGATAGTCCTTTTTGTGTTGAAAGGAATATGAGGATAGATGGAAGAAATTCATATTTCAGAATAGAAAGAGATTTTTGAATGGGGCAGCAACTTGCTTGAAATCATGTTTCATTTAGTTTAATCTGTTGGTCTTTCACTTTTCATTGCATATTGAATGAAGATGCCCCCTCCCCCATTCCATTGAGAAATATGGTGGGTTATTTGCATTATATAGGGTGTAAAATTACCAGAAAACTAGTTTTGTACAGTGATTAAGGACTCCAGGTTACATTCAAGGAGACTATGAATTCAAGTCCCATTTTAGGAATTGAAGCCAACCATGGGCCATTTAACTCCTTGTCAGCCCTAGGGAGAAAGCAAAAGAAAACCACTTCCAAAAAGCTTGCCAAGAAAACTTCAGGGACTACAATACTCCAGCCACTGGGAATGAAGATTGATTCCCCAAAACATATAACAATAACAAACAAAAAAATTTTGGCTTTATGTTCTGATTATTTATCCACATTTGTCATTGCAAAGATTTTGTGTTCAGATTTTCAAAGTCTACCTATGTAATGTTTTTTTGGGGGGGAGGAGGGATTGCCTTTCTCTCTCTCTCCCCCCTCCTGTGTATTTGTATTTGAGTGTGAACACTTGTCTTATATATTATTCAAAGCAAGTGTTAGAA